ATATACACATATCCATTGCTGCCTATCTAAACACTGTGTAAGGAAATGATGATGCAATATAAAGAGGGAAATCCAAACAAAATTTGGGAGATCTAATGGCATTGTGGTGGGAATAACATCACTGTGTTCTGGAGCCTGTCTATCACTTCGGCTGTTTTTACATGATCTCAGATGTGTGTAAAATCTTAGTGACCCTGCTTCACTAGCCGGGGGAGAGGGGAATGACCATCCAAGCTCCTTGTCTGAACACAAGTCATTAGTCACCCTCCTCAAGCTGCTGAAAAGTACAGAGAGCCGTGTTTCAGGATGAAAGCACAGTGCCACTGCTGCTTAGATGGGACATTTACCCTACCAGTGGATATTGTTAGGAGAAGCCTAAACTAACAGATTGATTGTTCCAAGGTACCAGAAAGATTGGCAATGGCCAGGTACAATTGCTTTCCCTGCATTCAGGGACTACTCTCTCCTACTTCTTCCAGATGCACAAGCCACCCAGAAGGGTTAGGCAGAAAGCAGGACCATAACTAAGCTTGGAAGGATTTGATTTTTATTGGTATTGGTAAATGTTGATAAATGTTGATTTCACTGTATGAACACAAACTGACGAGAAAATATTCCCATTGCTGCTCATCAAAATACTCATAGAGGTAAAGTAACATTATGGGGCTTGAGAAATTCTTAGAGTTTGATTTAATGCTAACATTTCAACATATGCTGTTGTTAGTTTATTTTTTAATGGTTAGATGCTTTCACTTTTTGAATCCCAGAATCTACACTCATAAAATTATTGTCTGTGTGTGTCTCCCCTCAAATTTCACGAAACTTTGAAATTTTAAATTGATACAATTTTTTAAAAAAGTCTAAACACCATAATTCTGCAAAACTCTGAAAATTTCAATAGATAAACATAGAAAAAATTCTTATAAATAAACATTGATTATGTGTGTGTGTGCGTCTAACCCTAGCTCTGCTGTCCATCCCACCATGCACGATCATTCTCAGTGAGAATAGTTTGCTCCTTAAATGCTGAGGTTTCAGTTGTCACCATGAAATGTTCTGGGGCTGCCTTACATGGGGAGACTTTTCTGCTCTGGCTTGGAGTAGCCCAGGTGTCAGGGCAAAAGGAGAAGGACAATTTTGCTATAAACAGGGAATATGGCACAGAGGAGTTTCATCATAATCTAGAGGTTAGGCACCTGTGCTTTCCCAGGTTTGCAAGTAAAGAAAGCCATTCACAACTCATTGTTTCTGAAGCACCCTTAATGGCTTTCACTTAATCTGTCTACATCAGTAATACAAGTTTATATCTTATATTTCTAACTTCAGATATAAGAATGATACATGCACACAAATAGAAAAATCAAATTATTCACATTATAACTTTTCCAATGATATGTTACACGAGACCTTTTGCATAAAGCACATTCCAGCTATGTTATTTTCATAAGCATATTTTCATAAATCATATGAAGTGCAACATCACACCTTCCTCCTGAACTTACTGCCAAGTCTTGGACACTGTCTATGGTGGAGGCAGTACATGTAAAATTCCTGGTTGTCTCTGGTTACACTCCCTCCCAGTACATTTAAACCCTATAATGTCATTCATAGGTGTTCTTACAAAGTTCTCGATTCCTGGTTCCCTGTTGCCTGAAAACATGTATGGGTGTAGTATTGCTAGCAGAATGCAGACAGCAATATCTGTTAAAATGTAGGTGTCTTGGCATTCTCCCACCAGTGCCATGAGGTGGCGTGCCTCAGTTTCCCCTTCCACACAGCAGTGTGGGTCTGATACACTCTTGCCGCTGTGCCAAGCTCTAAGCCTGTTTACAGATATTAGCTGAGAAGCATCATGCTTGTGGGACTGTCTTGTTACCGTCCCTACCATGTACAAAAGTTTTTCCCCAAAATCAGGTATGTTACCCATTTTCACAGAGTTTATCATTAGCATCAATTCCTTTGTCTTGAGCCATAGATGAAGTAGCAGAAGACACAGGATTAGCAGCAAATTTATGATGAACAGACTCTGTTCACACAGTTCAGCTTGCTCAGTGTCTATTGCATTTCCCATTCCCTTTGTGTTCCATGGTAGGTGTTTGGGTGACCAGATAGCAACTGTGAAAAAACGGGACGGAGGTGGGGGTAATAGGCGCCTATATAAGAAAAAGTCCCCAAAAATGGGACTGTCCCTTTAAAAACAGGACATCCAGTCAACCTATAGGTGTTCATACACAGATTCTCCTGTCTCCTTGGTGAAAGCTCGCAATTCAGGTATGTGTTTGGGGTTTTGGCAAGGAAAGGGTGCATTGCAACCAAGCCTGCCCTTGGCCCCCCTCTCTGCTTGTGGAGCTTCCCAAATGCAAAGTTTTTCCTCCTCCTGCCTTGAAGAGACAGCTTTAGTTTTTACAAGCATATCAGGAACAACAATATTTCCCCTTGTGACTGAAAGTCAATGCTGCTGCCACTGCAAACCCTTGACAGGGTTATAGTCTGTGCAGTTGCACAGAACACATCATGTGTTAGCCCTGGGATTATAGGGGAACATGCCACAGCTGAAGGCCCATTTCTGTAGATTGAGTAACGGTCAGGTTAGACCTCACATGCAGGGGCCATGACCAGAGACAGGGAGAGACTGTGGCTGTCTTATGCCCTGGTGGTCCCCAATTACTGAAATGGCCCCTTTGAGCTAATAGCAGCCAGCACAATTTAGAGCAGCCCCACACTGCTCTAAATTGTATCAAGATGGCCCCAGGATTGGGGGATCACATAGGAGGCTTAACACCTCCTTGGCAAGTCCCTTTCTTGAGTCACACACATCACTCCTTGCCCCCAACTCAGGATCTGGGCCTATCATGCTAAAAATTATGCATCTGAGTCTGCTCTGACTTCCATGGGTGTAAATCACTGTTTTGCTTTACCACAGCAGCTAGGACATACTGGCCCACAGCTCTTATAGGCAAATGAGCTCCAACTGGTTGTTATACATCACTCTGCAGATGAAGCAGGTTAAGGGTAATAGGCTAATCAGCATCTTGTTAGCACATCACTGGTGTCTAATTAGGAACCTAGTTCACCTCATCTTTAAACATAAAAATGGGTTAAAATGACTAAACAATTCATATTTTTTTCTCTTGGGAACTATTTTTCACAGTAGAAGGATCAGTTGCATGATTAATAAAGTTAATTTCAAAAATAAAATGAATGTGCCAAACTCCACTAAGAACAACCTATGACCTGAGAGTTAATTCATTGGCTCCTGGTTGGGAATATTGTGACAAAAAAAAATTTTCATCAGAAAATTCTGATTTCACCGTAAAGGGATGATACGGTGAAAAATATCACTGGGGAAAAAATTCAGGGTGTGTGTGTCCCAGAATAACCACTACGTTATGACACTTGCCTGGGATGTAGGACACCCAGGCCCAAAATGGGCAGAGCAAGGTCTCGAACCCCACCAAAAGGGTATTGGCTATTCATTTTTCATGAAACATCTGGATAAGTCTCAGGTTCATCCCATTGTTACACAAATGCCAAAAATCCATAATTTTTTGTGGGATAGAAATCCATTTTCCAGCCAGCTCGGCTCTTGGTTCACTGCTTGGTATAACTACATAGTTCAGCGGTATGGTTTTTTCGCACTCCTGTGTGATGTAGTTAGACAGACATAGGTCTGTTGTGTAGACCAGACCTCAGAATTAAAGTGGCCTTAATTCAGTTTAGCTTAATTCGCTGTGAGTGAATTCCCGGAGAATTCTGTCTTGGTAGGAAGTGTCAGGAAGATTGGATAACTTTATGGGACAGGGATGTGCGTAAAAAATTGGTTTATACTAGAAAACTACCTTCAGTCTAATTTTGGTCCAGACACTGCTTTTTCATAATACAGTAGAATACAGTCCCAACTTATGGTTATTAATGAGATATCCAAGTCCTCTATCTTTTATTATAGAAGAAGATGCAGAAATTAGCAACGAGATTCTTGTTATTGTGCCTCCGAGGTGAAGTTGCCAATAAGGAACATGTGTGTCAGTATGGTGTTTTCTTCTTTTTAACACCTGCATCAAATGTCCCAGAAACACTGTGATTTTGAGAGGCTAGTCAAATAATGTATTGGACAAAAGTCACAAGCAAAAAAACAACAGGAAACAAACACATTTTACTGCAAAAAATAAGTAAAGACAGCATGACAATATACATTTTTTTTTAAAAATACAGCTTTTTTACATCAAAATACATTAATGAAAACCTTGATTTCAGTTACATCAGTATAAAATCAGCATCAGTGTCATGTTATATTTATTCCTCTTTAATTGAACAAATTCTCATTGTTGTTTCCTTGTGTGAATTTTAAAAAATGGATAAACCTCTCCTGAGAATGAACAATCGTTAAATGAGATAAACATGTCATAGGCATGTCAGGTACATTGAAAAAAGTCAGCCACCCCTCTTGGTAACTAAGGTAAATTCCAATTTTCTTGGGCTGTTTCTGCACCATGACCCGGGTCCATGGGTCCGTTTTTGCCCAACAGTCTCTCCCACTCAGACCCAGAGCCCAGAATCCGGCCTTAGGGACAGGGAAAGTTTTCCTTTTCTCTCTATGGATTCTCTGGCCACTCCCAGGTCCCAGTCATTGCTGCTCCCGACATGCACCTCCCAGTAGTGCTTTCGAGGGGAGAATCCTTCAATGCCCAACACACAGACAGTCGAACCTCTATGTACTGCTAACACAACTTTGTAGTGCTAACAAGGCAAATTCAGGGTGGATGGTCCATACTTAACAGATGATGGGATGGGAGGATCATTTCTTAGAATGACTCAAGCCATCTTCTTGTCAACTGTTTGAAATGGGAAACAGGTCCCCCCCCCCCCCGATTGAATTAGCCTAGTTAGCTTCTCATGTGCTGTATATTTAGGCCTGCCTCCTGTATGTTCCACTCCATACATCTGAAGAAGTGGGTCATAGCCAACGAAAGCTTATGCTCCAATCAATTTGTTAGGCTTTAAGGTGCCACAAGACTCCTCCTTGTTTTTGCTGAAACAGATGAACACGGCTACCACTCTGAAACTTTTCTTTCTTGAGTAGCATAAAGAAAGGCCATAGCTAGTGAAGACTGCTCATAGATTAGTCAATCTGTGGGCTAGTCCCATGCCCTTCCCCCGAGATAGTAGAAAAACAAGATTCTATTCTTGTTTGAGTACATTTAACAAGAAGTTTCATGGCTAATTAGCAAAAAAGGCGCATATGACAACTAATTGGCAAAAAAAGGTGCATATGACACTCGATGCTCCTATTTTGGCCTCTTTCATGATTGTCAAATTGTGGCTTTAGGTCCATTTTATAGACTCTTCTGAAAGAACTCCCAATTTTCATTCACACTTTTCTGTTTAACTTTTTCTTTTCAGTCAATATTACTTATATTTTCCCTCACCTTTGAGAAATTAGCCCTTTTGAAGTCTAAACTATATGTATAATTAGTAGGGAATGCATTCTGTTTCCCCATCCTCAATGTGATCAGGTGTTAATCACAAGTGCCTAGACAAACAGTTAAGTGATTAATTCATCATTTCCCATCCCACTGTATATTTTAGAAATGCTAATGATGTTTATGACAGTCTGCACTGGACTTCCAGCAGTGGAGTGTAACTGGCAAGAAGTCAAACAGATTTACTGAGGAATAGATGTAAATACAGTTGCTCTGTGAAAAAAGACAACTTTTGCTAGTGAATAAGGAGGGAGAGGGGAAAACTTACCTGCTAGAGAATGATCTTCTTTCATTTCTGAATGTGGAGAAGAAAACAACATTTTTCATTGACTAATCATATTTGTATTTCTCAGGTCTACAAGCATACACACATACACACACATACATGCACACGCACAAACTCATCTTCCCATTGCCTGATCCCGCAACCACTGATGCTAATGGAAAACATCTTTTAACTTTAATGGGTGCAATACTGAGACTAGAGTGTCTGTCTATTGAAAACACCACTCTGCAGCTTACCATCTTCAGACTGAAATGTAAGTATCATTTCTCTGAACTGTGTTTCCTCAGTTAAAAGAGGAGAATTAACCAAACCAATCACAAATGAAAACTAAACTATATAAGGTGTCAGATGTGGAGAAAGACAGAGGAAATTTGATAAGATTAGTATTAGAAATTGTAATGTGTCCAGAATTCAATAAACAACTAAAAAGAGATCAGAGTAAATAGAAAAATGATCTGACACAGTTTCATCTAAAACAAATGAACAATTGTTGGATCAGATTCCATTCTCAAAACCTCATAATGGTTCACTTAAAAGTTATATTGATTTCAATGGGAAGTTAGAGTGTGGGAAAAGACATCACACAGTAAGGTACATACAGAGGAACCAGAATTTGCATTTTGTGGGAATTTCCAGGATTTTAAACTTACTTTTGTTTCAAAAGAGAACACACATACACACAGAGAATTTTGCAATTCCCTGCAACATTTTTAGGTCAATCAAAACATTCTGTTTTTATAAAATTAAAACATTTTTTTCCCAATTTTGAAAATAAAAAATCAAAAGGTTCCATTTCAATATAGTCAAAAGGAAAGTTAGAATATTACTGAAATAATTTCTTGCTTGCTTGCCTGCCCCCAAACAGTTCTTTTTAGAAATGGACATGTTCCCATGGAAAGATTTTGACCAGCCCTCAGTCTAGTAGTGAATACACTGGACCAGAAGGGACAATATTTGAATTCTATTTCCTGCTCTACCAAACATTTCTGTGTGATTATCAGCACTTCATTTGTCAGGGAATTGTGAAAGAGCCTCCTCTGGGTCCTCTGCACAGGATGTGGGTTCCCAGTTTTGGGGAAGCTCTTTGGGATGATTGAGGCAGGGCAGGGGTGTAGGGAGTCTTTGCCTGGCCTTGGCTATTACTGCAGAGGCACAGCTTTAGCAACTCTGTCCTACTGCACCTCCCATCCAGAGCTTTCTTCTACAGAGGATATTTTCAGTTCATGGACTTCCTGGATGTTTTTTCTCTCATCCCCCACTGCCCTTGAAACTCTTCCCTTCTGGCCCTCTTTGCAAAGAGCTGGTGAGGTCTCAGATACACAATGTACCACCAGGGATGCAGAGTCCCCTACATGGCCCCTCCTCCTCCCAGCCCTGAGGAATAACTTTCCTGCTGCAGTTGGGGCTCTTAGAACCCAGCAGGGAAGGCAAGATTTGTTTTTTGGATGTAACAATTCAGTCAACTAGGCTAACTCACCCGTTTCATCCCGCAGGTTTTCTACAAAAAATGGGGAGAAGAAGAAAATAATTCAGTGTATGTACATTTAGTTACAAATTGAAGAGGGTGAATGAGATCCTTTCCTTCCTGAGTAGCATAAATATTGCCCAGGGCGAGTGAGGAGCACAGAGCCTTCACAGACTATTCAATCTGTGGGCTAGTCTCATGCCTGTCCCCCTAAAAGCAGAAGGACAAGATTTTATCCTTATTTGAAAAAATTTAACAAGAAGTTTCATGGCCACAACTAATTAGCAAAAGAGTCAAATATGACACATGATGGTCCTCTACTAATATGGGATCTATTAACAAAGGAGCAGTAATACTATTTATAGCATGAACTACATTTCATTTCAGCTTCAGTGCAGAGTCCTGTCCATTTGTACAATTCCTTTCATACTGTGGTTTTTGTTTTGCAGGAAGGTTGAGCAGCACTGGTCAGATATAGCAAATGCTCAAATATGCTATTGATGAGGAAAGCAAAGGAAACTGTTCCATCAAAAGTGGGAGGGAGAGGAAGTTTAATAATCGAAGGGTTAAAATCCATGTGCATTTTATATAACAACCTGGTATATGGATTGTGCCAGCTCTTTTCCAGACCCAAAGTCCAGAGTTTGGTCAAGAGACCAGAGGCCTAGCTAATAGTGATCAGCTAAGAGAAAGCAGGGGTAAACAAGATAACATTGCCTTTGCTAAGATATGCTTGGTCAGTAGAAATGCCAGATGTTGAAGCAATAACTGAATAATTATGTTTCATCCAATGTTTCAAATTGAACAAAGGATCCCTGTTCCTATTGTGTTTCTCCTGAAGGGAAAACAGTCTTCCCACAGATCCAACTTTGAGTTTATGAAAAGTTGGCACGTCAGTATAAAGATATGGCATCCTTCCACCTCCCTTCCCAGGGACCAATGCCCTGCCTTAAGACATAAAGGAGACAATCTGTATTATCATGTCCTTTCACTGTTTCTTTGCTTTAGCCCCTAGAAATGTACCTGTTGGACAATCAACGGAGTTGCTCCATTCCTATGGACCCCAAATCAGAATTCAACATATGTATTTTATACTAATAACATTTTATCAAAGTATTAATTAAATGTTAACTTGCTAACTTGAGACCATGGGCGGAGACATTATGTAACCTTTTAACCATTGGCTAATATGCTATTTTGTCTTGCCACAAAACCTATCCCGGGGTGTGGAACTGCCTACCCCGTCACTTTCCCCCGCCCATGGAAAATCTATGTATTCCATTGTAATCAATTGATTGACAGTGTCTCTGAGCCTAATAAGCCAGGTGACACTCGGCCAGCGGTGTGTGTAATAAACTCCTATGCTTGACCACTACACGGTGTGGATTTATGTCCTTCAATAATCAGTCAATCAGTTTTCTTTTCATTCTACAAGAGTCCTACATATTAGTACCCCACATGGAAGAAAAAGGATATAAACTTACGAATTCTCTTCTCCAAGTTCCCTTAAAATAAAATAAAAATGTATTTAATGATAACAATAGCACCTTTTGTAATAACATGGCCAAAAATGAAGGTAACTAATAGTTAAAATATCGAAAGCTGTATTGTCTTTATTGGAGGAAGCAAGTGAGGCAATGAACACCATAGATTTTAAGGCCAGAAGGGACCATTATTATGATCTATAACACAGCCCAGAAATCTTCACCAAAATAATTCCTCTTTGTATTACAGGAGATATGTCAGAAAAACATCCAATTTTGATTTTAAAATGACTACTTATGGACAATCTTCCATGACTCTTTGTAAATTGTTCCAATGGCTAATTACCCTCAATATTAAAAATGTACACCTTATTTTCAGTCTAAATTTCTCTAACTTCACTCCCAGCCATTGGATCTTGTTAGACCTTTCTCTGCTAGAGCCCATTATCATATATTTGTTCTCCACATATGTACTTTTAAACTTTGATTAAGACACCCTTCACTTTGTTAAGCTAAATAGATTGAGATCTGGAGTCTATTAATATATGGCATGTTTTCCACTATTTTAATAATTCTCATGGTTCTTCTCTGACACCCTCTCCAATTTATCAACTTTATTCTTCAACTGGGCACACCAGAACTGGACACCATTTTCCAAATACAGAGCTAATATAACCTCCCTAGTTCTACCTATGACTATCCCCATGCCCTGTGGCCAAGTGCCTAGCCAATCCTCACCTACTGAGGGGGCTTTGTGCGCTCCAGGGAAAAGGGTACAGCCCTGCTGAGACAGAAATTGCACCTAGTCCCATCACAATGTGTGTGGGATAGGTCCAGCCACCTGTCAGGAAAGCTGAGTGGGTTGCTGAACTGCACCACCCTTGGGAGCTCCAGGTGGGATTGTGCCTCAAGGGGTTAACAGCTCTTCCTGGAGATTCTAGGCATGGAGGCGACAGCACCCTCAGCACCCTGCTGCTAGGGGCAGGGGAGGCCAGGATGCTCTTCTTGCAGAAAAGCACAGAACATGAGGCCTGGCTTTCAGCAGACTTTTAGGCTTTGCTTTGAATCCAGGATGCTCTTCACTCTGCTGTGTGAGGAGAGAACCTCTCTCATCAGTGGAGGATGCAGTGAAAGGTTCCTGAAGTTCCCATCAGAAGTTTCTCATCCAAGGGATGCTTTGGCCCTTCATTATCAAGAGTTCCCCTTCATGGCATGGTATTAAACCACTCTGTGAGGTTTAAGACTTAGGGAGGGTTGCTTGGTGCAATCTAGAACTCTGTGGAACATTTCCCAGATAAAAGCCCATTCTGTGCAATCATCTCAGAAATCAAAGAACACTCACCCTTGCCCCCTAGCCATTGCTTTGCAAAAGGAGACACATCCTCTCAACTACCCCAGTCTGACATCCCAGCCTTGACCAATGAGAGAGACAACCTGCCGGTGAACCATACCCAGATTCTCCTCAGTCCCAATTACAAAACTCATGAACTTCCTGCTCCCTGCAAAAGATTCTGACCCCTTCAGTTAATGAAACCCTGTCTCCTCCACTTCCCTCAATGGAAAAATGACTGACTGCTCCCCCCATTGCAGAAATCAAAGCCAACTTACACTTTTCTTCTTTGACTTGAGCTGCAAAGAAAAAAAACAAAAGAACACTTTCCAATACATGCACTTAATGTTATCAAATTAGGGGCCCGATCCTTCTCCTAGTGTAGCCAATGCAAATCTTCCTATTGAATTCATTGTCTTGGATTCAGTAATGCTAGTTATTTTGTTTGTTTGTTTTTTCTGAAACACCTACTCCACCTCCATATAATTGAGTAACTGAATGGAACCTTAACAATGCCTCTTTGGAATTGTTTTGTGGAATAGAACAAAGAGGAATAGGGTCAAAGTCACCACACACACACACACACACACAAGTCATTTTGAAATAAAAAAATCAGACTGTTCCAATTTAATTTGGAGGAAATAGAAAGATTTGACTCTAGTGAAATGGTTTTGTCTCCTTTTTTTAAGCCATCCCCAAAATATTTTTCCTGAAATACAAACATTCCCATGCAAAGTTTCTGCCAACACCTTCGTCTAGTAGTGAATACACTGGACCAGAACCTAGAATAGCTAGGTTCTATTTCCTGCTCTAGTAAACGTTCCTGAGTGGCCATCACCTGGAGTACATGGATGTTTTCACTCACATGCCTGACTGCCGTTGAACCCCTACCCCTCTGACTTTCTTTGCAAAGTGCTGGTGAGATTTCACCTCCATGTTATACCATGACTCTAGAGTCACCTACAGACTCTCTCCTCTTCCCAGACCCATGGGCTGAGCAATGAGAGCATACCTGCTGCAGATGGGGCTCTTGGAAACCATACAGTGTCATCAGGGCTTTATCTGTGGACTGTAACTATTTGGTAAACTAGGCACACTCACCTGTTTCTCCCTAGAGTGCCTCTGCAAAGGAAAAATGGGGAGGAGAAGAAAACAGTTCAGTGTTTGTCCATGGACTTACAAATTGAAGATGGTGAATGAGAGCCTTTCTTTCTTGAGTAGCATAAATATTAGCCAGGGGTAGTGAGGGGCACAGAGCCTTCACTAACTATTCAATGTGTTGGATAGTTCCATGCCTGTCTACCTAGATAGTGGAAAGATAAGATTCTATTCTTGCTTAACATGGCCACAACTAATTAGTAAAAGAGGTAAATATGATACTCAGTGCTCCTCTGTTGGTCTGTTTTGCTGCCCCGCATGATTGTGTAATTGAATGGAACTTTAACAATGTCTCCTTGGATTTGCTGTGTGAAAGAGGCACAGGGACTACACATGTTTCATGAAGGGGTAACATTTCCCTCATCTACCTGACCATAACTGATTAAGGCTAGGTCTACACTACAGCGGGGTTCCGACCTAAGATACGCAACTTCAGCTACGTGAATACCGTAGCTGAAGTTGCGTATTTTAGGTCGGCTTACCTGGCGGTGAGGACGGGGGAAAGCCGACCGCTGCCGCGCTGCCGCCGACTCCGCTGCCGCCTCTTGCCGAGGTGGATTTCCGGAGTCGACGGCAGAGCGATCAGGGATCGATTTTACCGCGTCCTCACGAGACGCGGTAAGTCGATCCCCAATAGACCGATTGCTACCCGCCGGATCGGCGGGTAGTGAAGACATACCCAGAAAGTGGCTGCAGACTTACTGATTTGTTAGGCAGGACATCTGAACAAGAAATGTTGCAATGACATCAAAATGGTTATTTTTAAAATTTGGAAAATGTACTTTTATTTCTCTGCTAAAGCTTTCATGACACTCTATGTCACACTAAATGTGTAGTTTGGGGAGCAATTGGGAAAAGCAGAATCTAAGAGCTGTTTTTTACATGGATCCTGAGAGGTGGGGCCATCCTGATTTTGTGCAGATTTGAGTTCTATAGTCTGAGTCCAGCTCCCACACAGGTTCATATTCTGTCTCACACATGGAATGTAAGTGTCAGTGGGGATCTTGGTCACAGAGGGAGAAGTGTTTCTAAGATTAGAAGATGAGATCTTATGGGAAGCTTTTTATGTTAATGCAGAGATCTTGAATTGGACTCCACATTCAGTGGGAAGCAAGTCTTTACTCTGTTCCTACTAGCCGTAATGTAGGTATGAGCCTTCGAGTCCAAGGCTGCAGACTGAATAAATTCTGTATTTGACACACTGTTTTCAATGGGATTACATAAACAGGTAACGATACCTCACAGAACTGACAGTTTGCAGCCTACTGATGTATAATGGATTATGTAGGGAGTAGTACTGGGATTTACAAATAGAGGATATAGATCATACTTCCGGGAAATAAAAACAGAGTAATACTGCTTAGAAATCCACACAAACTCACCAATTTGCCTCTGCAGTTCCTCTGTAAAAGAATAAACGTTATCAGACACCGCTTGCAGATTTGTTGTTTTGAATGTGAAAAAAAAAAGAACAGAACAGTTGTGTACCTCATTTACTAACATCATGAACAGCATAAATTAGCCGTGTTCAGTATGGCTCATTCCATCAGCTAATATTTACTCCAATATTTATCTAATTGTGTATTTCACCACATCCTGCTGTCTCTGCTGCTCTCAGCCCTACAGCACAGATTATCTCTCATTTATTACATACCATCTAATCTTCACATGTGTGCAATGTAGCCCTTTAAAATCTTCTGACAAAAACCTGCCAGCACAGTTCAGATTTCTGAAGACCTGAGGATTAACTGAGCTGAAAAAGGAGCATGCAATTAAAAATTCACATTCCCTGGCTGTGGCAACCTTTTGCAGCTAGCATAAGAACTAATCAGCCTCTCCTTCAGATGCGGTCTGTCAGTGTTTACACTTCCATAGTTGAAGTTATGGGTGTAGCTGAAGAAGCATGGGCAGCACTGAGGGCAGCCTGGGCCAGCCACCCTAGATATGTACCCACAGGGTCCAGGCGGATTTGTACATGGGGAACCTAGCCCATGAAGCCACACGCACTGCCTGTGCTACCCCAGCAACTCTACTTTTTTGACCATCCTAGCCAGATAAGACCTAGCGT